AAGCATTTAAGAACTAGAGGAAAGTTGTGTGTTTCATTGATGCTACATTGCACCCTGACTGGCTCCTCTCCTCCCCATGACCCTTCCATAAAGTGATGTCCAGTTGCCTACAGATGGGCCTTGAGTCCCATCCCAGCACTCCCCCTCATTCACGATGATATGGTTTTTTGTTCTTTGGGGCTTGATACCTGATCCCTTCAACACCTCGTGATCACATAGGCAGGTGTGCTTCTTCCATGTGGGCTTTATTGCTTCTGGGCTAGATGGCCGCATGTTTACCTTCAAGCCTTTAAGACCCCAGGCACTATATCTCTCGATAACCGGACTCCATCAGCTTTCTTCATCACACTTGCTTCTGCACACATTTGTCTTCAGCGATCTTGTCGGGAGGGTGAGCATAATGGAATGGAACAATTTAATAGAACATTAATAGAACATTTAATAGAACATTTAATAGAACAAAGTGTTCTTGTATTGCGGGAGTACTTGAGGCCCAATGTCCATCTGCTACCTTAATACTAAACCTATAAAAATGCACATAGATCTATTTCTACATCATCATATATAAATATATTTACATACATACGTGCCTGTATTTAGACCTCTATAAATGCCCTTTACCCCCTAGTTCTTTCCTGTATTTCCTTTTACTTTCTTCTTGTCCCACTATCATGCCCAGCCTTCATTTGGGTTTCAGTGATTCCTCTCAGTTACATTGCCCTTGGTCACTCCCTACCAGGCCTCTCACACCCTCCTTGCCACTGGTTTTGAATCACTCATTGTTCCCTTGTCCCTGGGTTTGTTAAACCCACTTCCTTTCCCCCATTTCCCCCTTACCCATGTCCCCCGGCACCCCTAGGTTTCTAAGATAACTTTCCACTGATATTTTCCTGAATACTGTATTTTTCAATAGATTCCTAGTATTTTTTCAATATTTTCTTTTATCTCCTATCTTCATGACTTGCCTGCATGATTCCTCAGAGCGACATTTTATGGACAAGTTTGAAATAGTTGTCACTTTCTGTGAAGTCTTTTCTGACTACTGAAACATCCATCGTCACAGCTGCTGAGATAACTCACGTCTGCAGAGCAAATTCTGCTATAGATGCAGGCCAATCGCAATCCTACCTTTTTTATGTCAAAATTTTAGTTTCCATTCAGAAAAAAAAAATTTACAAAATATAAGACAAATTCATTGTGGGGGGGAGGTCAGATGCGCAGTCATTCC